AAATTGTTCTCCTGCGGGGAGGAGGAGAAACATGAGGGGCACTGGGGGCGGGAGTAAAAAGGGGATTAGGACTGCGGGAGAAGGACCACGGCGACACACACGTCGGGCGCTTGGCGCGCCAATCCGCCGCCGTGCCCTTGAGCACGCATTGGGGTGCCCCAGTACCCACGCAGAGCCCGGACCTCCGATTTGCCGTAACAACAACTCGTGGGCGCCCTCCATGTGTGTGTGTGTGTTTGTATGTGTGTGTGTGTGTGGCGTGTGAGCCTCCCGCGGCCCATTGCGGGGGATACCCAGAAGGCCCCCGCGGCACGGTGCCGGGATAGGACCCACTTTTGTTTGCAAAGATGCGCCAAGCGTACCCAGCAACTTCCAAACGGTCTCGGATCCGACCTGCAGGCCAACAAGACGGACGGTCAAAAAATACCGCCCACTGGCTCTCCCGCGCAAGAGAATACCCAACGAGCACTCCGTCCATCCCACTGCAGACCTTGAGGGGATGGGGCAAGGAGGGAAAGGGTCAAACTACGCACAAGCCGCAACACATTGCGTTCGTTCCCACCCCGAACTCCAAACACGTATCAACACCCGGGTCTCAGCACACGTGGCGGACGCACTTGGGTGGGCACCTGTTGGGAACCAGCACAGGCGCCTGGTGCACGACGATGGCGAGGCGCGCCACGTACGCCAAACGCGCCACGCGCATTCCGTACGCCAGGCGCCCTGAGCGCCCAAGTGTGCCAGGCGCCGCGTTGCGTGCAAAATGCGCGAGCTGCGCCAGCGCACGTGACAACACACATCAAAAGAAACACGTCGCCCTTCCGCCCCATACTACGGGCGACGGGGCGGCCGCCATGGTGCGTGGCATATGCACTCGCTATCGCTTCGCGTTCGTTCTAGACACGGCTGGTGCGCCTGCGCGCATAGGTCAACGTGCTACCCCCCGCCAACCTGATGAATTATCCCAGTGCGACCCTACCTAGGAGTTGGAGCCCCTAGGAAAGCAGCATTAGTAGTAACAGAAAAGCTAAGCTGAAGCTAAGATAAAGCTAAGCTAGAGCTAAGCTAAATCTAAAATAAAGCTAAGTTAAAACTAAGTTAAAGCTAAGCTAAAGCTAAGCTAACGCTAAGAAAAAGCTAAGCTAAAGCTAAGCTAAAGCTAAGCTAAAACTAAGCTAACGCTAAGCTGAAGCTACACTAAAGCTAAGCTAAAGCTAAGTTAAAGCTAAGCTGAAGCTAAGCTGAAGCTAAGCTAAAGCTAAGCTGAAGCTGAGCTAGAGCTAAGCTAAAGCTAAGCTGAAGCTAAGCTGACGCTAAGCTAGAGCTAAGCTAAAGCTAAGCTGAAGCTAAGCTGAAGCTAAGCTAAAGCTAAGCTGAAGCTACGCTAAAGCTAAGCTAAAGCTAAGCTAAAGCTAAGCTAAAGCTAAGCTAGAGCTAAGCTAAAGCTAAGCTAAAACTAAGCTAACGCTAAGCTAGAGCTAAGCTAAAGCTAAGCTAAAGCTAAGCTAAAGCTAAGCTAAAGCTAAGCTAAAGCTAAGCTAAAGATAAGCTAGAGCTAAGCTGAAGCTAAGCTGAAGCTAAACTGAAGCTAAGCTAGAGCTAAGCTAGAGCTAAGCTGAAGCTAAGCTGAAGCTAAGCTAACGCTAAGCTAAAGCTAAGCTAAAGCTAAGCTGAAGCTAAGCTAAAGCTAAGCTAAAGCTAAGCTAAAACTAAGCTAAAGCTAAGCTAAAGCTAAGCTGAAGCTAAGCTAAGCTGGGTGAACCCAGGGGGCGCAACTGGGGGAACCGCGGGGCGGGGACTGGGGGAACCGCCCGGGGCGGTTTCCATTGCCCGGCCCCTTTAAGCTAAGAGAGTAAGAACCCTTCTAGGCAGAGCCTAGGTAGGGAACAACAGAAATCGATTAATCGCAAAAAAAACCGCGCACGGCTCAATATTTGCGACAAAATGTAGTTTGTTTTGTGACGAGAATGTTGGGGATGGCGTCGGCGCGATGTCGGGTCGGCGGCTGGTCGGGCGGGGGGGGGTCACATATCAGTTGGCCTTCGGCCACTCCCGCCACCGCACGAAGGTTGTGGGCCGAAAATGTCTTGGATGCCTGTCGGGGTTTCTTGGGGCGCTCCTCATGGGCCTTTGGGGGGCCTCCTGGAGGTCTGTCGGGGGTTTCTCGGGGACCTCTTTGGTCCTTCTGGGGGCCTCTCGGGGTGTCGGTTCGCGTTTCTATGTTGGGCTCGTCGCGGGGCCGTCTGAATGTTCTCCCGGGTGCCTCTCGGGGGAGGGGGGGCGCCCGAAGTATCGGGGGGCCCGAAATGGCCGAATTGGTTCCCATGTCGCGCAATGGCTCAACGTGACCCCAGATTGCCTCCAACACGTTTCCAATCTGCCCCGTTGCCGCCGCAGCTTGCAACGAACGCAACAGCGGCGGCTCCCAACGACCCCCGAGAGGGCTCGAAGAGGCGATATTTGGGCATCCGACGGGGGGGCTGTAATTGGAGCCGCCCTCATCCTTGGTCATTTTTTCCAATGTGGCCCAGGGGCGCCCCCGCGGACCTGGGAGGGCCTCCAAGACCCTCGAATGAATCCGTGTGGAAACCCGATCTACCTCCTAACGCGCCTCCAGTGTTGGCTCCCTCGCTTCACCGCTTGCTTCTTGTTTTCGCTCCTGCCACCAGCTCGCTTGGTCATTTGGTGGGAACGCGACGCCTTAAGCTTTTCCTCATCGGGTTCAGACTGGCTTCCGCGCCCCCGCATTCTCGGGCCCCGGTTACCCGGGACGGCCCCAGATGCCTCCGCGAAACTCCCGAGGCGGCCCGAGAAATTCGCAATGGAGCCCCGAAACGAGCCAACAGCGCCCAAGAGGTCCCCGACGCGGACCAGAAAAGGCCCCGAAGACAGCTCCCGAAAGCAGCATGGACCAGGGGGCCCCCGGATGCCCCGAACGAGGCCCCAGTCCCCAGGCGGCCTTCTGTCTTCATCCCCGTCGTCGCCCGCGTCGCCGCCGCCCCCCCCCCTGTCGGCCTCATCCTCTCCTCTTTTCGCCCCCCGCGCGTCCCCCCGAAATCTTCCGCAGCAGTCGGGGGCGCACGTGTCTTACAGTGGCGTCCGCCAAGCCTCGGCCCAACTTCGGGCGGCGCAGGCGGTTCGAAACGGAAATGGGCGTCGGCGGTTCGCCGCGAGCCTCTTCGAACCGCCGTCCCTGTAGCCTGCAGGAGGGGCGCATGGCATGCCCGCGCGAAGCAATTCCTGCCCCGAGTAAACCCAACCGCCACCCCCCCAACGGCGCGGATGAGGAGGATGAGAGGAGACGGGTGAGAAGGAGCATCTTATAACTAGCAGCAGCAATTGCCCCGACTTCCGTGCTCCTGCGCCAGCCGAAGTGCGTGCGAGAGCCTGCCAGCCTTCTGGAAGTACTGGATGGCCTCCTTGACCATTCCGTCGGCCTGTGGAGACATCAGGAGGGAGGAGGGTGAGAAGGGAGGGACGAGTTTGTGTGAGAGAAAGAGGGAGAGAACGATACATGTATACATATATATATATACACATCGGGAGAGAGAGAGAGAGACATAGAGAGAAAGAGAGAATGAGAGAACACAACAAACGAAAGGATTTGGCATACCTTGTAACACTTCCGGCGGTTACCAACAGTTTTCGTAAAGTTTCCCGGGTGAGGAAGGAGGGAGACAGGAACCTGAAGAGAGGAGGGCACAAGCTTGAAGGCTTCAACGCTTTAGGTGGCTGTAGTTGGTCCCAACGCATTCATCACAAGCAGGCCTGACCTGAATAAATCGAATGAAATTGCCCCCGAATCGGATCGCTCCGCCGCCCTCGCCTGGGACCAAATGCTGGTGATGGGAAATCGGGCGATTCGGGACAGAAGCGGGAGACGATCATGATCGATCGCATCGCGATCGGGGGCGAGAGAGCGAGGCGAAGAGGATGAGAGAAGCTGCTGCCAAGCTTGCGAGCAGCCCCTCGCGCGCCAGCAGAGGCGCGAGACCCCAGTCCTCACTCCTCACCGGTTTTCTCTCCCCGGACCCCGGGAGAGGAGCAACGCTTGGCACGAGTGCCCACCGCGCACACCGCGGCGGCGGGCCCCCGGCGCCCGTCGCCCCCTGGGCGCGCGCGCGCGGAAGGCCGCGCAATCGCCCAACCCCGCGCCGGCCCGTTGTTCGCTTCGTCCCAACCGGCAATCGATCGGGCCGCCGCCCTCAGAGACTCTCGACTCCAACCCTCTCAAGGCTCCTCAATTGGGGGGCCCCCCCCTCCCCTCCTCCTCCTCTCCTCCTCCCTCCTCCTTCTCCTCCTCCCTTTAATCTTCCTCCTCCCCCTCTCCTCCCTCCTCCTCCCTCCCCTCCTCCTCCTCCTCCTCCTCCTCCTCCTCCTCCTCCCTCTCCCCTCCTCCTCCTCCCCCCCCTCCTCCTCCTCTCCTTCCTCCTTCTCCTTCTCAGCATCCTTTGCATTATCCTCTTCCTCCTCCCCCTCCCCTGCCCCCTCTCTTCTTGCCCCTCCTCTTCCCCTGCTTCTTCCTATCCCCTCTCCCTTCCTCCCACCCTCTCTTCACCGCCCCTCCCCTCGTCGTCGTTGTCGTCGTCGTTGTCGTCGTCGTCGTCGTCGTCGCGCCAAGGGCTGGGGCTATGGGCCCGCGGCCTCCAGGTGCCTGGCCAGGTGGTAGCAGGCCGCCGCGTTCTGGGTCTCCCTGCAGATCTTCACGGCGGCGTCGATATCCTGGCCGGCCGAGCAGGGGGGGGGTCCAAGGGGGGGAGTCCTTTCCCTCCTCCTCCTTCTCCTCCTCCTCCTCCTCCTCCTCCTTATCTCCTTATCTCCTTATCTCCGCCTCCTCCTCCTCCTCATCATCATTATCTCCTGATCTCCGCCTCCTCCTCCTCCTTCTTCTCCTCCTCCTCCTCCTCCTCCTCCTCCTCCTCCCCCTGGTCGTCGTCGATGTCTTTCGGGGTCGGCGGCACCGGCCGTCAGGCCTTCACAATCTTCATGGCGGCGTCTATGTCATGGCCAGCCGAGCACAGGGGGAGATACATAGAAGAGAAAAAACGGCATAAACATAAACCTCTGGCGCTCTGCGCGGATCTCTTAGATTCACGCTGGGCCCCCCTCCCTGGCGCGCGGAGCGCGCCAGGGGCGGCGCTGGAGGCGCCGCCGGGGGGTGTAGGCGCGGATCCAAGAAATCCGCGCGGAGCGCCAAAAGTTTATTGTTTATGCCCTTTTCTCTTCCTCGAGAGATGCATGCGGAGGACGACAAGGGGAAGGAGAACAAGGGAGGATGTGGGGGACGGGAGGGGGGCGCACGGCCTCAGTCTGCAATGAGAACCATCTATCCTGTGCTCTCCCCCTCCCCCCTGGCGCTGCCTCTGGTACGCGATCGTGGCGTCTGCTCGGGCGGGGCACCTCCCAGGCCCCTTGCCGGAGCTGACCGCTCGATGCCGTCATCTGGCGGCGGATTCACTTTTTTTTTTTTGTTGATTTTTGTTCAGCGGCCATGGCATAGGCATCCTGCTGCTGTGCACCCGGCGCGCGGGGGGCGCACGGATGTGGAGAGACGGGGGGGGGAGAAAGGGACGCCAGTGCAGAAAGACGCAGGGGTGGAAGCTCTTTCGGGAAGGGCGGCACGATGGCCTGCGCAGACCTCTTCATCCTCGTCCTTCTTCTCCGCCTCCTCCTCCTCCTCCTCCTCCTCCTCCTCCTCCTCTGCACTCTACTCCTTCTTTCTGCTGCTGCGGCTGCTCCTGCTGCTGCTCCTCCTCCTCCTCCTCGGCACCCTCCTCCTCCTCCGCCCTCATTCCCTCCCCGCCGCTCCCGTCTCCTCCCGCTCTCACCTCTCTCTCTCTCTCTCCCTCTATGTCTCTTCCCCTCCCCCTCTCCCTCTCCATGTCTTTATTTTCTGTCTTGTTTCCCTTGCTGTGTATGTAATGTGTAGGTCGGTGTCCCCACCTCTGTCTTTCTATCGCTCTCGATAACAAATATAAATGTGTATACGTATGCATACAATTATATGTACTCATGTGCGTATATGTATATGCAGGCACCTTATATGTGCACACATACATCAATACACATACCTACATACATACATGCATAGACACACATACACATACACATGCATATCCACATACACACAAACACACATACATACATACATGCATACATACATACATGAATGCATGCATACAACCATACATCCATACACATATTCATACATCCAATCACACATATATTTATACGTACATACAGACATGCACACATGCAGGCGTACGCACGCACACACACACACACACACACCTATACATACATTCACACATACACGCATACATGCACGCATGCGTACATGCATATCACACATATTCATACATACATACATGCATACATACATGTCAGCAACTATACACACATACGCATGCATCCATATACATGTATACGTACACCCATACGTACAGACATGCATACATACATACATACATACACACGCATGCACCTATGCACATACATACACACATACATACATGCACGCCTGCACCCACACATGAATACATATACATACTTTTACATACACAAATACATGTACGCACACATACGCATACACATGTACATATACATATATATGTATATATACGTACTCATACGCACATATACTACATATGTACATGCAGGTACACATGTACATATAGACACACATATACGTACATATCTATACATACATATACACATAACAATGTGACCATACATGTATACATTTACATGTAGAGCTCCAAACTATTTATATATATATAGATATATGTTCTATACATGCTCTAGAACCTCGCGGGCTTGGCGCGCGATCAGGTTCTAGCAAGTACTGGTTATAGTCTAAAGTGTTTAGCGTCGGAGGACCTGTAGTGTCACACGGATCGTGCCCCTCATTTGGAGCTCCACCGACGGCACGAGATACAAACTTGACTTAGCGTACCCCCGCCCATGCGGGCAGAACCATCACAGGGATCGCGCTCCACAAGGATCTCCACCTACTTCCCCAGAAATAAGGTTCGCATAGTGGCTCGCCCCTAGCGCGGATCGTGCCCAGCAAGCAATTGCCTTTGTGGCACCAGAGGAAAACTTCATTGCGTCGCCCGGGGGCTACTTCAGCACGCCTCTCACACGGGTCGTGGCCCGCAAGGAGTTCCACGAACGGTAACAGAAGCAAGGTTTGCATGCCGCCCACCCGCACTCTCGCACAGACCGGGGCCCACAAGGATCTACACCTATGGCCCGAGAGATAGGGTTCCCATTGCGCCCCCCCCGCCCATTGCGACACACACCATCACGCGGATCGTGTACACAAGGAACACCACCTAGAGGCCCAAAGACACAGCTCGCACATCGCCCCTCCGCCCATGTCGGCATCCCCGTCACGCGAATCATGCCCCAGAAGGAGCTCCGCATATGGCACCATTGGGCAGCTTCGTATGGCGTCCCCCCGCCCATGTCGTGCCCGGAGTAGGTCCACTTGTGGCCTCAGAGGGCGTTTCCGCGCGGTGGTATCCGAATTACTCGGCACACCCTTCAAGCGGAATGTGCCCCACATGGAGGTCAGCGCACCTGCGCACGCGTGTTTCGCAGCAGCCCAGTTTCCGCATTGCCCCGCGGCGCGCAGTGTATGAAGAGACCCGCGCCCTGCTACTCATGACTGCATAATAAGGATGGGTCCGTCGCCAAGGCTGTTGCTTTCGTATCTATGACCTTCGGCCGCGCTGCTGTGCCTGAGCTTGGGCTCAGACTCATCGATTGGATACCTGTAGTTCGAGGTCTGTTGGCATGCTTCTCGGGCGCCTCGTGGAGCGACTCTTGAAGCTCCTTGGGGCCTCCTGGGGGCTGTTCGGGGGCATCTTTGGGGGCTTGCTGGCAGCCCTGGGGGCATTCTCTGAGGGCCCCTGGGGAAGCTCGGGGGGATGGTTTTTTTGAGGATGTCCCACACGAAGACGCTGGTTTGGAACTCGTCGCCGGATGTCCCACATCTCTGGGAAACGGAAAGAGGAACCTCTGAGGGCCTCCTTGGAGAGGTTCGGGGGGTCGTTTTCTGAAGATGTCCCACGCGAAAACGCCGGCTTGGAATTCGTCGCTAAATTTCCCGGATTTCCCGGAAACCAGAAAACATAACCTCTGAGGGCCTACTTGGGAGGCTCGGGAGGCCGTTTTCTGAAACAAAACCTCTGAGGGCACCCTTGGGGAAGCTTGGGAGGCCGCTTCTTCTGAAGATGTCCCACGCGAGGACGCCGGTTTGGAACTCTTTGCCGGATTTCCTGGGTTCCCCGGAAACTGACATTTATCCGAGTGCGACCCTACCTAGGATTTGGAGCCTCTAGGAAAGCAACATTAATAGAAGCGGTAAACGCCGTCCTCCTCCTTCTCCTCATCGTCGTAGTTGTAGCAGTAGTAGTAGTAACAGTAGTAGTAGTAGTAGTAGTAGTAGTAGTAGTAGTAGTAGTAGTAGTAGTAGTAGTAGTAGTAGTAGTGGTAGTGGTAGTGGTAGTTAGTGGTAGTGGTAGTAGGTAGTAGGTAGTAGTAGTAGTAGTAGTAGTAGTAGTAGTAGTAGTAGTAGTAGTAGTAGTAGTAGTAGTAGTAGTAGTAGTAGTAGTAGTAGTAGTAGTGGTAGTAGTAGTGGTAGTAGTCGTAGTAGTAGTCGTAGTAGTAGTAGTATAGTAGTAGTAGTAGTAGTAGTAGTAGTAGTAGTAGTAGAGTAGTAGTAGTAGTATTAATAAGTAGTAGTAGTAGTAGCAGTAGTAGTAGTAGTAGTAGGAGTCGTGTAGTAGTAGTAGTAGTAGTAGTAGTAGTAGTAGTAGTAGTAGTAGTAGTAGTAGTAGTAGTAGTAGTAGTAGTAGTAGTAGTTAGTAGTAGTAGTAGTAGTAGTAGTAGTAGTAGTAGTAGTAGTAGTAGTAGTAGTAGTAGTAGTAGTAGTAGTAGTAGTAGTAGTAGTAGTAGTAGTAGTAGTAGTAGTAGTAGTAGTAGTAGTAGTAGTAGTAGTAGTAGTAGTAGTAGTAGTAGTAGTAGTAGTAGTAGTAGTAGTAGTAGTAGTAGTAGTAGTAGTAGTAGTAGTAGTAGTAGTAGTAGTAGTAGTAGTAGTAGTAGTAGTAGTAGTAGTAGTAGTAGTAGTAGTAGTAGTAGTAGTAGTAGTAGGTAGGTAGGTAGGTAGGTAGGTAGGTAGGTAGGTAGGTAGGTAGGTAGGTAGGTAGGTAGGTAGGTAGGTAGGTAGGTAGGTAGGTAGTAGTAGTAGTAGTAGTAGTAGTAGTAGTAGTAATAGCGCCAGAACCGCCGACGCCACGCCGTAAGTGAAGCAGCAGCAGAAGCAGGCAGCAAGTCGCCGAGACAGCAGCAAAAGCAATCAGGCACGGGGATGAGGGCGGGGCACTGGGGAGTTTACTTCTACATCTATACCTACACCTACATCTACATCGACACCTACATCTACATCTAGACCTACATCTACATCTACACCTACAGCTACATCTACGCACGCATCTACTTCTACATATGCATCAACAGCGAGACTCACATCTACATCTACATCTACGTTTACACCTACATCTACACCTACATCTACATATACATATACATATACATCTACATATACACCTACATCCACATCTACACCTACACCTACATCTACATCTACATCTACATATACACTCTCGCATTGGTTTTGCTGTTGCTTTGCATTGCCTTTGCTTTTGCTATTGCCTTCGCTTTTGCCGTTGCCTTTGCTTTTGCGTTTGCTGTTGCTTTTGATGTGCTTTTGTTGTTGCTTTTGCTTGGTGTTGTTTTTGCTTTGCCTGCGCACAAACACACACGCGCATGTTTTTGCATTCGCTCACCGGGGGTGCTTGAGAATGCTCCGGATCCGGCCTACACCGCACGACTTGGCATTGAGCAAGGTTGTGCAACACTTGCTACACCGAACGTTCCTACGAAACTGCACAGCAGCAGCAACTCCCAGATCGGTGCATCAAGCTGTTCAGCATTGTTTCGGCGGGCATCATCGGCGCTGGAATATGCGGTTTCACCAGAGTGGTGTGGCCGCAACCTCCCCGCTGTCGTGGAGTCGCCCGAGCCACTCTTGGCGCGCTGGGACTGTGTCGAATAACCAGTAGTACACAGATCGCCGTGACTGGTTCCCCGTAGCAGACACGCTGCAACTTAACAATCGGCCGTCGCATTTGAGCAGGGATGTGCTCGCAGCCGATTTGCAAGAGGCGGTCGCCGAATTCGCTGCGACGCAGAATGCAAGCAAACACCTTGCGCTACACACACACACATTTTAAAACATATATCCTTTACGCCAAGACCAGAACAACTGGAATCGCATGAAGATGCTGCCTTGGGAGCATCCCCTGCCTAAAGACTGGGGCCGAGCGAGTCAGACAAGGAATCGTTGTCAAAGACCGCGAGGGCCCACAACCCAAAAGAAAGCGGGGGAGGAATGGAGGCAGGTGGGCCCTGAAAAACTTGAGCCGTAAGTTTACGGATCAGAGCATGTCGCATGAAAAGCCATCGTTAGCTTCACAGCCCTTTGGCCCCGAAGCGTTTCAGACGAGAGACGGCCCAGGCTCCAGGAGCACCCCATTCTTAAAGCACTCCTCTACGCCAAGACCAGAACAACTGGAATCGTGTGAAGATGCTGCCTTGGGAGCATCGCCTGCCTAAAGACTGGGACCAAGCGAGTCAGACAAGTAATAGTTGTCAAAGACCGCGAGGGCCCACAACCCGCCCCCAGCACCAGAGAGCTGTTCCAGTGGCGACGACAGAGGGGGAGATAGCGTTACAAAGACACGTGGGATATGGCTCGGCTCGCAGGGTCCAGAACACCCCCGAGGCATCCTTGCCTTCCAGGGCCCGGTGGCGGTGGCCAGTGCGCTGACAAACTCTTCCTGTGCATCGGCGCTCCCGCGATTCCATTCCTCGGAGCGCGCCGGGGAAGCGAGTGCATTTCCTCCAAGGCATTCCATGCATGCAGTAGTCTAACACAACGGACGACGCGCTCTTTTCAAGGTGTCGTATCTCGCTCAAAAGCCAGAGACGAGACGTGCGAGGGTTCTCAATCACCCAGGGGATACTGTGCTTAGTACAATCACGTGCGAGACTACACACAAAGCGCACCAATCTGTTAGCAGTCTGTACGCGTGCATTCTGCTTAGCATCAAGCTCAGGGAGGCCGTATAAATGAATGTTATAACGGAGGGGGCGAGGCCCATTCTTCCGATCCGTGGCCCGGGACAAAGTGTTACAAGGAACGCCGAACCACATGAAGCAGAGGGAGCCAGACCGAATTTGTTCACGCAGATGCCTCACTACCTCCGGCCGAAGGAGGTCGCCACTGGGTCCGTCGGCGACGTCGCAAGCCTCGGTGGGAATACCGGCCCTCGCCAGCCCGCGCGCCAGCTGCCCAGATCCCGCGAAAATCTCGACGGTCCATCTCCGTTTTAGGAACGGGGCGGTCGCAGCAGTCGGCACGGCTGACCACGGAGAGCATCCTCGATGGAGGATTCGGCAGCCGCGGCGGAGTCCAGGAGGCTGTTGGGGCTGCTGGCCAGAGCTTTTTGTATCGCACTGCGCCTTTCGTACCTTCTCACTGACAGGAAGGTGGCCCTCCTGCCGCGCTCCGCGATGTCTGGAACCAATCGGCGAACGGAGCGAGCACGTCGGCGGCGGTCGCTGTGGCGAAACTGGTAGCTGGTGAGGTTCCAGTTCACGAGCCAGGTCGAGGAGGGCCAGGTCGAGGAACTTCCTGCAACCCCGGGCGTCGCCACGAACAGTGGCTCGCTTGGGGAGCGCTGGCCCCTTAGCAGCAGCAGCGCCTGGGCCGTCGGGGAGAACCAATCCACCAGCGTGACTACATCGCCCAGCACGCTTGTCTTGGTGGGGATGCTGGCGCCCGAGGAGTCGAGGATGAGCAAGACGCGTGCGTGGCTGCGGCGCCAGCTCACTGGCGGGGCGAGACCCCCGGCCTGGAGCCGCGTCGCCTCTCCAGTGCGCAGGTACGCCTCGTGCATCACCAGCCTCCCCTGGACGCTCTCGAGCCCCCCGCGCCCGGGCATCGCCCCCACGATCACGGCCTCCCACGCGTGCGGCAGCTGGAAGCGGCAGGCGACCAGAGCTGCCTTGCGGGACCCGCGCGGGGCGCGGGCTCGAGGTAGACCGCCCTGCCCTCCCTTGGAGAGCCAGGGGAGGTCCAGCTTCGCGGCGGCGAGCGGCTCTTCCGCCTGGCCGACCTGCCACCCATCCAAGTACAGGAGGTTCGTCCGCTGCACCAGAGCCTCGCCCACGACCTCCCCCGTGCTGAAGTCCGAGAACTCCCCGCATTTCTGGAGGTAGCGGGGGGCCGACTGCTTTCCGACCGACTTCATCTCGAGGGGGCTCACCAATCTCTCTCAGCTCGAGCTCCTCCTGGAGTTGGCGACCCCCTGCCGCAGCCGGAGGGCTGCTGGCGGGCCCCGGTAGGCGACCAGCAGATGCCTCGCCATGGGGCCGCCCGAGTTGGCTCGGGGGGAGCAGCCGCTTCATCCACCGCGAACTCCGCAGCTAGTGGGCCAGCGCCCGCCCCTCGATGAAGCTTAAGACGGGCAAGCCCACGCTCGCGGCTGCGGTGAGCGCCCGTGAGATAGCGGCGGGAGGCGGCGTCGGCGGCATTGATCTCTGAGGAGATCCATCGCCAGCGAACCGTCATGTCCATGGCGACGGTGAGGGCTGCATTTTTCCTACACAACATCAACAGGCCAAAATTGTCAGCACGCCCCTCGGACATAGCGAGGATCATCCCCAAGTTGTCACCTATCTTGAGATGCCGCATGCCGCGGTTGGCCACCGACCGGCAGGTGCGCCGCACAGAGATTAGCCCCGCGCGGCCCTCCAGCATCGCAATGTGCTCCTCATCCCTTGCGGAAAATCGAGAGCAACGGCCTGTGTCCCAGGAGCTGGAAGGTAGCATGGCCCAAGAGCCGCTCCACCTGGCGACCACTGAGCCAGGGTCGCTGGCGGCTCAAGCGGCGGCAGACCTGGCGAAGCCGCCAGGCCTTGGTGGGGCTAGGGCAATGCTCGCCCGTCAACCCATCGATCGCGAACCCCAAGGACTCGGCCCCGCGCCGCGCAGCTTCCTCCTCATGGATCTCGAAACCGAGCGAGGTGAGCCTCCGCTTGCAGTCCTCGCGGAGGGCATCGGCCTGAGCCTTGGAGGGCGCAGCCGCCGCGAAGTCGTCACAGTACGGCAGCGCCAGCTCGGAGCCCGCCCCGAAAGGGGGCGGAGGGGCGCGATCCTGCATGACCGCGTCCGGGGTCCAGCCCCTGATCTGGCTGACCTGGCGCGCGCGCAAGACCTGCGCGAAGAAGAAGCTCCACGTCCAGCCCGTCGGCGCCACCCTCATCGCGGGCGCTGCGGCGTCGGCGTTCCAGAGGTACCCAAAGGCGGGACCACCATTGGTAATCGACTTCAGCTCTTCACCAGTAATGTCAGGAAGGCAGAAAAAATTCTCGAGCCCTGGCGGCAGCCCGCACGCGTAAAAGTCGCCCTTCACGTCACTTAGAGAAAGATACATATCAATGTCCGTGTCCATCGCGACATCGGCCCAGGACGAACCCGAACCCATCGGAACGCGTGGACACCCTCGGAAACGGGCATTGACACGCCTACAATCAACGACGAGGCGCTGTTTGCCCGACTTCTTTCGCACAGAGAATACCGAGATCCTGCCTCGAACCTGGTCGGCCCGTCGTCAAGCGAGAAGCCCACCTCTGAACAGGTCCCCAATGAAGTTAAGATAACTGCGTCGACTGAAGCGAAGCCGAGGGTCCATGTAGGACCCAATGTGCTCAAGACCACGCTCCACCTCCGCCCCCCGCTGGTTGTCGTCCTTGTGCAGGTGGGCGTCAAAATCTACGATCATTTTTGCGGCATATGCCGGCGGGGCCTCGGTCAGCGGGACGGGAACCCGCCCTTCACCAGGGGTCGACAGAGCACGGTCGTAGGGGGCCACTGTCAAATCATCGCCCCCAGAGTAAGGGACTCCACTCCCGAGAAGCGCACGCACGGCTTCCTCGTCAGAAGCCACCTCGGATGGCGGCCGAAATGAATTGAGGGTGTCGTTCAGGTGGTCGACCGTGGCGCGCTGGCCCAGCGACGAAAACTTCGTGTTGGTCGCAGAAGAACCCGCGAGCCAGTTGAGGGCCCAGATGCTCTCATTCACCTCCTCCGTGAGTCGACGCCGAGCCTGGGCGCGGTGCCGAACACCCCGAGAAAGATGAGCGCCTGCAGCGGGCTCCTGAGGCACGCAAGGCAGAGGGAGAAGCTCTCGCGGGACGTCGCGCTCTTCGGCACAGGCCCCGGCAAGAACATCCAGCTGAGAGGCCGGGAGTGCCCCGGATCTCGGCCCCCCCCCTCAGGCGGTGGGGGGGGCCGCGCGCGTCCGTCGCGGGGGGCCCCCGACCTGGCCCTCCCTCTCGGGGCCCTTGGGCGGCATCCTCAAACGTAACTCCTCGCTGCGCTTCCGAAGCTCCCTACAAACTGATGCCTTGTCGCAAGCCATCCCCACTACGTGCTTGACAAGAGTAAATGCGACCAAAACTTTGCCCCGTCCAGGTCCCCACCCCGTGATGAGGTTGGCCCCGGTGTAGTCGGGGCTGCCGGGCGAGTCGATGTGCGCCTGCCCACTCAGCATGACGCGCCTCCCGAGCGCCTCACACGACTCCTAGATGGGGATGGTGAGCTGGTCGGCCCCCCCCGCCACCTCGAGGACCTTCGAGCGGCAGAAATGTCCAGGCACAGAGCGGTCGCCTCCCGTCTCAGGTTGGTGAGCCCAGTTGTAGTGTCGCTGACTGGGATCCCCCCCGCCACTGCGAGCAATGTTTTCTAGATGCCAGAGCGAAGAGGGTTCTCCTCCCCGAGGCGAGCCCACCCGATCGTGATGCTGCATCAGCTCGACGACCTCAACAAAACCCCGACGGCGGACTCTGTTCCACCGCACCGCCAGGAGGGTCATAGCGTCGGCATCCTCTGCAATATCATCGGCGGAGACGGAGTAGCACTGCACCACGATACTTGAAGCATCCACCGCCATCGTGTCAACGTCCCCCCTCGTGACAAGAGTGAAATGATGACCGTTAGCGTCAGGTGGGCACTCGGCGCCATGAGCGAAGGCCTGGTCGGACGAGTATGAGGTCCTCCAAACCTTGGCGCGGGGCCAGGCCAGCACGTCCTGCGACCCCTTCCCGCGCCCAGCGTCGAAAGCGTGGCGAGACACATCAGCGAGCCCTCGGCAGTAGACGTTGCCGATCATCCCGCCTTCTGCATCAGACAGACACCGTGCCTGCAGATCCCCTGACACGAAAAGGTCCCGAGGGTACACGTCGCCGTCGGCTGTCGAGAGGGAAACCACGAACGCGCACACGCAACCGATCACCACGTTGCCGTAGAAAGAGAGATTACTGGCGACGGCTGTCGCCATCCCACGTATCACGACACCCCGCCTCGGACGAGCTCCGACAACTCCTCCGCCACTGGGAGCTGGTGCTCTTGCGCGGCACGCCGCGACCAGAGCTCCCCCAACATTTTCACGATGTCTGGGCACAATCCCCGGGCAGCTCGCGATCCGTCAGAGCCCCTGGACACGGCCGTCGCAGAGCGGCGCCCGAAGGATGTCGCCTGACACGCCCAATCAGACTCGCAGCGGCGAAGAGGCCAGCCAACCGGTGATGGCCGCAAGAGGGAGGCGTCGGGCACCCTGCAAGGGCATTGCACCCTGAAAAACTTGAGCCGTAAGTTTACGGATCAGAGCATGTCGTATGAAAGCCATCGTTCGCTTCACAACCCTTTGGCCCCGAAGCGTTTCAGACGAGAGACGGCCCAGGCTCCAGGAGTGCCCAAACTTAAAGCAATATATATATATATATATACACCAGCAGCAATAGTGGATGCTGTGCTGCGCTATGTTATGCTATGCTGTGCTATACTATGCTCTGCTATGATATGCTATGCTGCGCAATGTTATGCTGGGCTAGGCTATGCTATGCTGCGCTATGCTATGCTGCGCTATGCTATGTTGTGCTATTTTATGTTATGCTATGCTATGCTATGCTATGCTTTTGCTTTGCCTTCGCTTTTGCCTTCACTTCTGCCTTTGCTTTTGCTTTTGCTTGGCACCCAGGGAGCGCAACTGGGGGAACCGCGCGTTTGCTTTTACCTTTGCTGTTGCTTTCGCTTGGGACCCAGGGGACTGGGGGAACCGCCCGGGGCGATTTGCACTGCCCGGCCCCTTTAAGCAAAAAGAATAAGAACCCTTCCAGGCAGAGCCTAGGTAGGGAAGAAACACCTCTGAGGGCCTCCTTGGGGAGGCTCGGGTGGCTGCTTTTTCTGGAAATGTCCCACGCGAAGACGCCAATTTGGAACTCATCGCCGGATTTCCCCCATCTCCGGGAAACGGAACAGGAGACCCTCTGAGGGCCTCCCTGGGGAGGCTCGTGGGGCCGGTCGTCGTCGTCCTCCTCCTCCTCCTCCTCCTCCTCGTCGTCCTCCTCCTTCTCATTCTCCTCCTCCTCCTCCTCCTCCTCCTCCTCCTCCTCCTCCTCCACGCGAGGGCGCCGGTCTGGAATTCGTCGCCGGCTGTGTCCGGGCCTCCCAGAGGAGGGAGAGGGAGGCGGTCGGCGGGTACGCTCCCTCGCGCGCCGAGGATCAGGATGGCGCGAGTTCTCGAGGCATATGCCGACCCCTATTGAAGGGTTCCTGGGACACACAAATAAATAGACATCAAAAAAGGATTCCCCATATTTTCTCATATTTTCTGGGTTTTCGTCTTCCCCCCCCACTTCCCATATTTTCTGGGGATCGCCGATTAATTGTGTCTGTGATTGTGTTATTTTCCCCTCCTGACCTATCCCAGGCTTCGTGGGGTTTTCGGGTTGGGCCAGAAATGTGGGGCCCGACCCTGGGAAAAACGATGGGGGGGCGCCCATCCTCGAGAGGGGTGCGTCCGAATAGCCCCTCTCGGGGTATATATCCCAGGGCTTCCCCCTTGTTTTTGGAATCCTGAAGCGGTGCGGTGACAGACCGTGCGGTGACCTCGGACCTCACCGCACGGTCCGTCACCGCACAGTCTTGGGACCCCGGAAGGCCCCTGTCGCCCAAGACGTCCTCGGAAAGTGACTCGAGTCCCAAAACCGTGCGGTGACCCCGAATCCCCACCGACTCACCGCACGGTGTGGTCACCACCCCGTTTGGGGGCCCCCCCTTGCTCTGAGCGGCCAGACTTTTCGGCCGGAGCTCGGGGATGGGGGGGGAAAAATTGCCTGCGACAGACTCACCCAAACGATCAGTGGCTGTCTGCCACCGTGCCTCTGGGCACGGAGCGGGCGTGTCGTCAGGTCCTTTGCCCAGTCCCTGGAACCTCAGCCCCCAGGCCCGAGGAGTCATCGAGGGGCCCAGGCCCCAAATTCCGAAGGAGGCCGCGGGGGGGGGGGCGAGGAAGTAACGGAGACG